ATATATATATATATATTAAGGAAAAAGACAACAGGAAAACTGTAGTTTTAACCGCCGCGTTTCATCCAATGTGGACTTTTTCAAGGCAAAAAAATGAAATTAATTTATTGAATCAAAGTATCTATAAACAACAAACAAAATGTCGTTAGCAACTAGAAGAATTTAGAAATGCTATTGTATATTCATATGGTCAACTGAAAAATTATGTCAATTACTTTATGTCTGAAGAGAGTGTTTCATGTTATAAATGTGACACATAAAAAAGAAAATAATTTATTCAGAAGGAAAATCCTCAAGAGTGCTGCCATTGAATATTATCCAAATATTAATCTACACCCAGGTTTTTTCCCAATATCACCTTTCTTAACAGATCACTACTCTCCCAAGCCAATGTACACAACAAACATATCAAGAAATCAAAGAAAATTGTTGAATCCATCAACACAACATTAGAAAAGCAATATTTCTACATGTGAAAATATTCTCTTCAAGTAATATTCTCTGAAGTAAATGACGTAATTTTTCAGTTGACCATATGAATATACAATAGCATTTCTAATTTCTTGTAATTGTTAATGACATTTTGTTTATTGTTTAAAGATACTTTATTTCAGTAAATTCATTTCGTTTTTTGCCTTGAAAATTGTATGAAACTCGTCCTATTATCTTTTTCCTTAATACTCATTGTCTTAAGGTTAATTCTGAGAAATTTATATATATATATATATATATATTCAAATAATAGGAAAGAACAGTCAGATTTATAATCCAGTTTTCTTTAGCAATTATTTTTGTTTAAAAAAATAGTGCATGATACATAATTATATACATATATATATATATATATATACACACACACACACACATACATACATACATACACAGTATGCACTGTGTAATTAAGAACAAATTATAAGATAAAAAAAGATATTTAATGCAAAATTCAGTATATTCCCAAAGATATTTGTTCACATGTTCAACTTAGAAAAACAGTAAATTGTTATTCAATAAAACTGATCTCAGTCCTTAGGGTGGGTTTGATGTCACATTTGAAGAGACTGCATCCCCCAATGGATTCCTATTCTTGTTGGTCTTTACGTCCATGATGGTTGCCTTCAACAACACCTTTTTTATTGTGAGACAGCAAGTTGATCTTCCTCTCAATGACAATTCTGATGTAGTAATCACTCCCATATCATAGCCTGTCAAAACGCCAATTCTTTAACTCCAGTGGAAGTGCTCACATTGACATCCACAGCTCATGTGGTAAAAACAAAATATCTGTCCACAAATTTTGCCCAGCTCTGCTCACTCACTTCAGAAATACCAGGGTCATAAAACATCTTTTCTGACCAATCAGCAAAAGGTCCATGTGTTTTTTTTTTTTTTTGTAGCAGCTGTTTCTGAGTCACTGACTATAAACCCAACACTGGAAGCAACAACCCCAGTATGAGACAAGCTTAACCAAGAATGGTAGACTACATGACTAACCAGGCCATCAGCAGCAACACCAAAATGCTTCCATCAGCAGCAATGGCTTTAACCAGTAACAAAACCACCAACAGCAGAGATTAACTCTCAGACATTACAACATGATAATTTGTGGAATATTTCTCCCATGAGTCTATTCCACTCAACTACATATGCATGTTGATTTTCTGCCATGAGTCTGTTTCGCTCAAATACATATATGGTTGATTATTTTCATCTATCTCAACTACTATTTTGTGTTATACCCTCAGTCTCCCACAACTGATATATGATACCCTGGAATGAGAAAATGATCACATATTGTAAATGGTGGGAAATAAATACATTTATCTCAACCACATCTTATCTCCATTTAGATAAGAATGGTGAAGCTCAGGCTATTGTTTTGGTCATATTAAAAGAGTTCAACAGGGTTTGGCAAAAGTTCAAAGGTTATGGTGTCTTCAGAAAAATTTTTGAACTGATTCAGTCTTTCTTATCAAATCATGAAATGAAAGTTATCCTGAATGGCCACTCTTCTAGATCCTTTTATACTAAGGAAGGCGTTCCCTAGGGCCCTATCCTTGGTCCTACTTTATTCTTAATTTTTATTAACAACCTTGCTGATGGCACCAGTTCTCAACTTGGTATCTATGCTGATGACACAACCATTTTTTCCTGTGTCGATCAGTTCGATAAGGTCAAATTGACAGCTGATCTCAAAAAGACCTTCAACCTGTTGTTAACTGGGGCAAGGAATAGCTTGTTAATTTAAATGTGTCTAAAACAAAACTGCTCTTCATTAATCTTCTGAAAACCTCTTTAATGCTTTCCACCAGCATGGCTGATGCTAACCTCCAGGAGAGTGACTCATTGCACCTGCCTTATATTTAGAGATTCTTGATAAAATACAAAGAAGAATCAGCAATATTATTGGTCCTCTCCTGGTATCTCGGCTTCAGTCACTTTCCCACTGATGTAGAGTTGCTTCCCTGTGCATTTTTATCATTATTTTCATGGTAATTGTTTGGATGAGCTCTTCTCTATGCAACCTAGACTTTATGAATTTAAATGTCATACTAGATTAGCAACAACGTCTTATCAATATACAGTCAAATTGGTGAGATGTCACTGTAAGTTCTATGCTAACAGTTTCTTTTCTTGCACTTCTCACATGTGGAACTTCTTTCTGGCTTCATGCTTTCCTTTGATCCTCAAAAATTTAAACTCAATGTCAATCGTTATCTACTGTCTTCTTGATTACTCTTTTATTGCTCTAATTCCTTAATAATGTTTCTGTTTTCCAATTCTTTCACAATGAGTAAATCCTTGTGTCTTAGTGGCTTTATTGCCTTGCATGGGTTGAAATTGATTCAAAAAAATGTTCTTTTGTTACTTTTTTTTTTTGTTAACAGTAAAGCTTTCTCATGCTAAGTATTGTGGGATGGAGGTGCTAGCTCCATGACCAACAAGATTTGAATTCAGTTATCCTTCACCTAGACTGGTTGTCAATCAAGGCTAAAGAGCCCAGTTTTCCCATAGATGCGGATAGAGTAAACAGAGGAATTCAAATCAGAGGAGTTAGGGGGGGGGCCACATGTTGTGGGTGACATGACTATGAAAAGTTTTGATGGATCTTATTTGCATTAACCATCACACTTTCACAGTGGCAAGTATTGTGGGGCTGATGGTTGGTCTACTTCTCAGCAATCCTCCCACCCCAGACATAACTGCCCAGGAGATTCAGAGGTGACATGATCATGAAAGTTCTTGGTTAGCCAGCCCTGGTTCATGTGGGGGAAGGAAAAGAAGCCTACTGGAACAAATACAGTTTCACCTTCACACCATATCCAGTACCTAAACTGTAGGCAGTAGCATTGATCCTGAAGCCCTGTGGATGGAGTAGTCGGATAGTACTGGTATGACAATCATTGTTGCTCATGACCCCCTAGGATGATCATACGTAAGTTAGACTGTCTATATTTCATTTCATGTGGGAAGATATTTGATGGACAATTGAATAAAGACAAATAAATAAAGCAGAAAAAATGTCCTTGCCTTGACTTTTAGGAGCGTCCTTGCTCTATAGTCCTTCAATTCATATAAGATGAGAATAATTCTTGGCTTTTACCACTTCTAATGAGATTTTGTAGCTTCATACTATTTTTATGCTATGCTTTCCTTTAACAAATAATACTGAATTACTTCCCGGCTTCGGGAGGGTTCAAAATATAAAGCGAATTAAAAAAAGAAAGAAAGAAAGAAAAAGCCAATGTAGTTCAAGTAGGAGAATCTGTGTTTGATACTGAGAAGTTTGAAACGCTAAACTTAACAATACACGCAAAATTATTTTATTTACTGCTATAAAGATCAGAACGGAGAATAATGCCAACCATTTGCCGTCATATTTCAGTCCAGTTGAATTATGTAAAAATTATTTAAAAAAAAAAAAATAGTGAGGGAAAAGGAAAAATAATCTTAGTAAATAAAAAAATCACTCATTTTTAAGACAATGAGTGAAAATAAGTAAACAGAAAGTAAATATAGATTGATAGATAAATGATAGAATTTACTTTTAGTTTTAAATTCAGAATCTCAGTACGTGAAAGGGCTCAATGGCATTTAAAAACTTAAGAGTAAAAAAAAAAGTAAAAACTAAAAAAGAGAAAATGTAAAATAGTAATAAATAATAAATTATTATTATTACATTTTCTCTCTTTTATAATCATTTTGGTAAACGAAAAAAAACCTTTCGTTAAAAGTTTTTTTTTTAAATTTTATTTAACGAAACCTTTTTTTCTTTTTACGCCGGTTAAATTAATTAAATTTAAATTTTAAATCCAGGTTTCAATTTTTTAATTATTTAATTTCGTATCAACCATTTATAAAAGTTAAATAAAAAAACGATATACATTTTTTTTTAATCATACGCATAAAGAATCTTTCTTGAAAAAAAAAAAGAATGCCCGAAAAAAAAAAAAAAAATGAAAAGTAGTCAAGCTCCGACTAAAATCAAAACATAAACATTTTAAAAGTCAATATTGCGTTTAAAAATGATAAAATTGTAATAATAATACAATAATTGTAATTTATAATTTTTCTTGAACACATTTTAAAATAAAATAAAATTAATTATTTCCAGTGAAACATTGTAATGAATAATGATCCATCATCATCATCATCATCATTTATTGAACCGACGATGCTGTATGACAATAAATTTGAAGAATTAATTTCTTTTTATTCACACGTAGAGTTTTCGCACCTATAATATTTAATAAATCTTGCTAAAAAATAAAAACGAATACCTTCCTCATTATTTTTATTGTTGATGTTATTGTTAATAATTGTGTACGTGTACGTTTACCTTAAAAAAAAAGATAAGAAAAATATATATAAGTAAAACACTGGTGTCGATCAATGAAAAATTATTGTAAAAAAATAATGCACTTTTAATTTCCCTAATAAGAAATTGTCAGAAGTCATATTTGTTTATTTAAAATTTGTACTAATTTGTTTTTTAGACTTACCTGTGGTGCCACATTGGTATAATAAAACGTTTCCTGTAGATTTTTCCTCGATTGAAGGTTGTTGCCGGCAGCTGCCATGTGTCCACGGTCGTAACCACTGCCCTTAAAATCCATATCAGTCGCCCGAAAATACGCATGGATTGATGGATCCTCCTCAAAAGAACAGGACGTCCGATCGGCATTCTTCTCTCGCAAACTCTCCGGGGTCAAATGTTCAAAGACCCAATTTGGGCACCTGGTCCTTTGGTCGTAAGACAAAATGTAGTTACCGTATGATCGCAGATTGCTCATGCTAGGAAAACCAAATCGCATAATTTGAGCAACCCGATTACCGGGCATGGGCTCGCTGGGGACGACATTGACTCCCGACGGGACTAACTTTTCGGATGCTTCTAGCGTGGGTATCGCGGGAGGAATGTCGAACCCCAAAGAAGAACCATTTTTCTTTCGTAATCGCTCCAAGCAAGCGCCTAAGGCCCCGCCGACAGTAAGCGAAAGTCCAGTTGTTAGGGTAAGCAAAAGACGGTGGCTTCTCATCGCATCGATCTACGACGGCCCCTGACAAACTGAAACCTTAAAGCCAGCTTTATCGTATGTTGTTTTCTTTATTTGTTTTTCTTTCTTTATGAGAACTTAGAACAGTAACTTTGGCAAGGTAACTCTAGCTGTTCTAACAGTTTGGATTCCGGGTTAAGAAGAGATAAACACGACCCGGTGTTTTAGAAAAGTGTACACTCTGATCAACTAGAAGCTAGAGTTATCTCCCCTATATTGGGTCGACACGTCTCTTCTCATTTTCTTTTTCTGTCTCTCTCAAGTTTTAATTTGGTCGGTAATATTGGTTAATATACACTTAAAAAATGAAATTCTAGTTTCTACGTACTGCAGAATGTAACCTCATTTCATTTTTACAGGCTTAAAAAATTATACCAGATTCCTTTATACATTTGATAACCAATCATAAAGTATTTTACTAAGTTTGTGTTTTTTAGTTTTATGTTGTAATTGTTTTGGTCAAACTGGTACTTTAGGGAAAAAATGAAAAAAATCATTAGAAAAAATCTCTAGAATCGGGGCCATGAAACAGCGGACATAATTCGAGTTAAAATTTATCGTTTTCTCCGAGAAAACGCTTTACTTGAAGCTAGTTATTCTCTTTTGTTTGAGTATGATATAAAGATTCATTGTAAATCAGCAAAATTATTTTCATGAATTATATAATTATAATTTTCTGATTGTACCGCAAATCAGTTAATCCATTTAAGCGGGCCAACCATCACTCGTAAAATCTTGTTCAATACGTTTTTGGATGACTGCGTCTAGCTAGAGCAGTGGTGCTATATCAGTTCCTAGGGGTTGCGAGGATACTAAATCATTAGGGTTGGCTTACTAAGGAAACTCTAGTGTAGTGTTTGGCGATCTGGCATAAAAGTTTACATTGTAGAAAATTTACCTATTGCTGCCATCGTAATAGCGTAAATATTGTATACTACTTAAGGGAAAAAGCGAGCAGAAATTGCTGGTAAAACTGCGGTAAAAATGGAAACAATACAGTCAGTGTGAAGTTTGTTTTGATAAAGAGCGCAACTACTGCTCGAATAATGTTGAGATGTGTGTAATGGCTAAAGTACACAGGTGTAGGTTTTAAAGAAAGCTTTATTCAACTGAGTATATTTATTTCTGAAAAATCAGAAAATGTGGCACAAGGCCGAAATGGGGAAGGGGAAAAAGGACGTTCTTCTGTTTTACCTTTAAACTTAGCTAGCCACAAACGATGACCCAATCATACTAACAATATTCCTTACACCAAAACAACACATCCACCATAATACCTCAATGTCTCTATGAAATTACTAACTAGACCCCATATGTACAATTTATCGTCTGTGGGAAAAAAACAATTTTTAAAAATTTTAAAAACTAGCACCCATGAGTATTTAGAATATGAAATAAAAACTATTTACAAGAAACTAAACAAAATCATTTTAGTAATAAAACCCCCCACAATCACTAAATGTGGCAGAAACATCAGTTAATTGGACGAAATTAATGCGGGACTATAAAACATTCGTTCATCCCAAGCACTCACACAGACACACACTCATTCAGACACCACAACAGATACGAAAACACACACACGAAACGAAAGACGCCCCGCATCCACCAGAGAACTGACATCACTGACCACCTAACGAGGGAGGGGATGGGGAATTAAACTTAAAGAAAAATAGGGACAGAAATAAAAGGGGCCAATGAGCATACATACCCTAGCTAAGTTTATAGAAAAAAGAAACTAAAAATTCAAATAACCAAAACTAAGCTAAACTAATTTCGGAATGGGTGGCCCGTGTTCAACCCAGGAAAAGCAATATCCTGATGCCTAACCGACATCAAAGTGCCACTCCAGGTCAGCCCCTTTCACACGATACAAACTCGCAAGATTCACCCACCTTTTGTCGAATTCTGATGAAGTGAGTCGCATTTCCGTCCTAATCTTAACCTTAAGCTGAAAGTATAAAGTTGGGAAGAAGTGAACTTCTCGCCTTCATAGAATCCCTTCTGACGTGTCATCCAAATTACGACTCTCATAACACCTAGCAAACATAAGAACACATAATGTTCAGCCTTCGTCAGCGATGGAGCCACATTATTACAAACAGAAGCGGCCTCAAGGACAAAGAACTTTCCAGGCAGCATGCGAACAATGAGGCCTTCAACATACTTGCACAACGGCGCTACCACCCTGCAATTAAAGAAGGCGTGACCAATGGTCTTGACTTCTCCACTACACCGCCGGCAGTTTGGATTTTTCTCCAAGCCCGCTGTGCAAAGACTCTTGGCGACCCAGAGAGCCACACACATTACCAGCCAGGTGAGTGATGCCTCATTGTTATTGAGACATTTCAACCCGGACGCCCAAGGCCATATCGAGCGAGCCTCTTGCTTCGTAAGACCGAGCTCGTCAATCAGTTCATCACGAACGCCCCCCCGCCCAACTAGCACCTGATATAATGCCTTACGAGACAACGCCTTGACGTTGGAGAGGCCATCCGACGCCAATAAGAGACGTTTCAGAGCACGACGACATTCACGGTAGAAGGTAGCATTCGACTCGAGGTAAACGGTGGACCTCCTCCTCGCACGAGTGCACACTTCTCAGGGATGGGAAGTTCTTACGGGCGTCTTCCTTTCAGAAGGCGCCCTTCTCATCCGATTCGCGATCCAGGAACCCAATGTGAAGCATATATTGACGAATCTCAATGCTAGCCATACCTAGACCACCTTCAGATGGATGAAGGCAACAGATCTCCCGAGAGACTATGGCAGCCTTGCCTCCCCACAAGAAGGAGAACAAGAGCTTCACTAACGCCAGTAAAGTATCATACGGAAGTGGAAGCACAGAGAGTCGGTAAAGGAGAATCGGGTAGATGTGTAAAACACATACTTTCGCCCTCCCCTTTAAGGAAAGATTTCTCCGAAACCACAAATTAATTGCGATCTCGGCCTTCCCTTGCACCTCCGACCAATTCATTTCCAACTGGATATCAGGACCGAACCAGACGCCGAGAATCCGTCCAGAGGAAAGGTCCAGGAAGAGAAACCCCCTTCCACGCACCCAACCACAAGTCAACCGACTTATCGCGGTTGATCTTGACCCCTGTCAGCATCTCATAACCACCTATTTCTTTACTAATTTCGTCAATCTCGGCCACGCTCGACACAAGAACAGAAACGTCAAGCAGACAACCTTGACGAATGGAGCGAGACAATGTGAAAAGCTCTGATCGTACCCCGTTCACCTCCACCAGCGCACCCGGGGTCGCATACAGAATTCGGATCCAGGTGCGAAAGTATGGCCCGAAACCGGCCGCCGAAAGGACAGCCTCGAGAAAGCTATGGTCAACCCTATCGAAGGCCTTGGACTGATCTAAATTGATCAACGCGGCTTCACTGTCGACTTGCTCGATGATCAAGCGTACCATATGAAGGTTGTCCTGAATAGTCCTGCCCTTCACGGCGCAAGTCTGTTCGGAGCCAATCAGACTAGACAGGACAACTTGCAAACGGTTTGCCAAGACCTTAGCCAAAATCTTTAACTCTGTGTTTAACATAGTTAAAGGGCGAAAGTTACCTAACCCATCCCCACCATTTTTCTCCTTACATAAGAAATTGATTAAGCCTCTAGTGAAGCGTTGAGGCATAGACCCCTGCTTCATCCAATTGCTGAAAATCAGTGCCAGCAAGGGAAAAAAACGGGCAACTGCCTCAAGTCCACTTCGTACGGAAGACCATCTAATCCCGGATATTTGTTCAGGCCAACCTGTTTCAGTGCATCCCAGATTTCCGATTCTGTAATGGGATCCTCGCACCTAGCCACTTCAACTGCCTCAAGGCAGGGAAAGTTAGCTAAATAGGCCTCGAACTGAGCAGGGCTAAGATCGGTCTCACTGGTGAAAAGTTCCTGAAAGTACTCACGAAAAGTCTCACATATGCCCTCGTTTGTAGTCACGACCCGCTTATCCGACAATGTGACGCATGCGATATGTCGCCGAGATGCACTCCGAACCTCCTCTGCACGCAGTTCAGCGGCCATATTCGTTGCCTCAGAAGACATTCTTTTTAACCTAGCCCTAACTACCAGAGCTTGATCCTTCTTGATAGGCAAGGAGGCCAACTCTGCCTTAGCTAAAGCTACGTACCCACTATCACGGGATTTAATCGCCGATCAACTTTTTGCTCACAAACCGTTTGCGCCGCTAGTCTATCTAGATTGAGCCGACGACTATAATCAGTAGCAAACGTTCTAATTTTAGATTTAAGTTTATCCCACCAGGCATTTCCCACCACATACCCCGTCAGTTCCCTCTGTATCATTAGTAGTAGCTGGTCCCGGAAATCTTGCTCCCCAAATAATGAGCAGTTTAATTTCCAGTAACCAGCTATCTTAACCTTAGGGTTATCTAAGTTTATACAGACCCGGACTAGCCTATGATCCGAATAAACTATATATTGGAAACTTGGACACCCTAAGAGCCCTACATCGACTCTTCTGACTCGGTCGAGGTAGCTAGAACGCACCTCAGTAGCCGAGCCGCCACTATTAATCCAAGTCTACACTACCTCCCGAGGGTGTTCATTCCGGTACTTATCGACAAGATCAAACTTGTCGATAAAGTCTCGAAATAGTTTCACGGCCCGGTTGTTAGTACCTGAATTTGGCCCTATACGATCTATATCGGGGTCAAGGACGGCATTCCAATCCCCCGCTAAAACTACCCAACGAGATGTCGCCAAGAACGGCTCGATCTGCCGAAACAAAGCAGGCCGCTCAAAATGCTTATTAGGCGCATAAACCCCAATGAGACGTAGAGCCTTACCCTTTATGGTAACATCTGCCCGCCGGATCTGCGAAGACAAGAGCACATGCAGCCTTCAAAACTTGCTCACCAGCCAAGAGATACCTCTCGTGCGTCCATCAAAACATGCTGAATAGAGGGGAAAATCCCTAGAAGGAATGCTCTCATGATCGCGAGAGA